CATATTTTTACATTAGTCATGTTGTAAAGAATTAGAACCAATAGGAGGGGGGCAGCTAGGTGGCGCAGTAGATAGAGCACCAGCCCTGGAGTCAGGAGGACCTGAGTTCAAATCCAGTCTCAGACAAGACCCTTGACACTTACTAGCTGCGTGACCTTGGGCAAGTCACTTAACCCCATTGCCTAGCCAAAACAAAACAAAAAACAAACAAATAAGAACCAACAGGAGGAACCAACAGAAAGAAGAAACAAAACAAAATAGAAGGGAAAAAAAAGAGCAAATAGTATGCTTTAATCTGCATTCAGATTCCATACATAGCTCTTTCTCTGGATGTGGATAGCACTTTCCATCATGAATCTTTTGGAGTTGTCTTTAAAATCAGATTTTTTTTCCCCACATGTTGGTCACTTTCGCTAAGCTTTTCTCCCTTCTTTTTGTTCTTTGTTACAGAGATTACTCTGTGGGAGGGAATGAACATTTATTTATTGAGAGAGAGAGAGAGAGAGAGAGAGAGAGAGAGAGAGAGGGAAACGATGCTCCCAGAATAGGAGGATTATTCACTTGGTTCCTGCTCAAACAATGGGAGAGCCCAGACTGAAGGGAGCTCTGGTTCAGAGAGGGTTTCCTGTGGCCCTGTAGATGGTCAGACTGGGGATTAGAACAGCTCTTATACTAAAGGAAGGGACTGCAGGGTAAACCTGAGAGAGAAATCAAGGAAGAGACCTCTACACAAAAGTGGTTTCTGAAGCAAGATAATCCTTTAGAGCAGGGCACAATTAAGAATTTGTCTCACTAGCTCTATGAAGCCCCTAAAATCGAGTCTGGTCTTGAGCTTTCTTTATGCCAGAAGGAAAGAAGTTTTGTTACTTCAGGATGTCTGGCCTGAGAGGGTGTGTCTCTGAGGGAAGGACGGGGGAAAAAAGGAGGTCTCGGGGCAGCTAGGTGGCACAGTGGGTAGAGCTCCAGCCTTGGAGTCAGGAGGACCCAAGTTCGAATCTGACCTCAGACACTTGATACAAACTAGCTGTGTGACCCTGGGCAAGCCACTTAACCCCAATTGCCTAACAAAAAAAAAAAGAAAAAGAAAAGAAAAGAAAAGAAAAAAATAGGAAGTCTTTCTTGCTCAAGCCCAGAGCTCTACATATCAGCAAATGGGGGCAGAATGACAAGAAGCTTCTTGGCCAGAGAGCACAGGACTGAGCAGGAGTGACTGAAAGAAGATGGAAGGCCCGTCTTCACAAGGACCACGACACTCAAAAACAGAGGAATGACTCAGGCTGGGGAATCTTTGTCCCTGGGGAGACCCCAGGAGTCTGAGGCAGTTAAGGAGAATGGAGATGATTTCTGTCAGTCTTGTCTTCTGCCTCTGCTTCTCTATCTCAATCAGTTGAGCCTGTAGTGAACTCTGTGTTCTTGACCTGTGGGTACATAGTCTGGAGACAGGACTCACCTACTAGCAATGATAACTCAAATAGTATTTTATCTTTTTAGGCAATTGGGGTCAAGTGACTTGCCCAGGGTCACACTGCTAGTGTCATGTGTTTGATCTGGGGTCCATTTTGAACTCAGGTCCTCCTGACTTCAGGGCCGGTGCTCTATCCACTGTGCCACCTAGCTGCCCCTTGTGATAACTTAAATAAAGCCTTAAGGTTAACCCCTTTTCTCACTTACTGCAGTGAGTCAGATGGTGTACATATTATCTCTTAGACTATAGGACACTGTGGCTCAGAAAAACTAAGTGACTTGTCCATGGTCACACAGATAAACACAGCAGGAGCTAGGGTTTGAACCTAGATCTTCTGATTCCATAGCCAGTGGTCTTTCCCCTATGCCCCTCCACTGCAGTAGAAGGCAGGAATTTTTTTTTTTATTGTTCCGATTGCATCTACATGGGGAGTGCCCAGTCAGGAAACTCTCTGACGCAAACTGGCACCTTGCTCTGCCACTTCTCGTCTTAGTGACCTGTCAAGGGTCATACCATCAGTATGTGTCAGCTGTCTCTGAGGCCAGCTTTTTTTTTTTTAAAGGCAATCGGGGTTAAGTGACTTGCCCAGGGTCACACAGCTAGTAAGTGTCAAGTGTTTGATCTGAGGCAGGATTTGAACTCAGGTCCTCCTGACTTCAGGGCCGGTACTCTACCCACTGTGCCACCCAGCTGCCCCTGAGGCCAGCTTTCTAACCACTGCCCTGTGGGCTGGGGTGATCCAGGAAAGCTTCAGGGAGGAAATGAAGTTGGAGCTGAATCTCGAACAACAGTTTAAAGTGGCAAGTCATAGGATCATAAATGTAGAGCTATGCGGGACTCCAGGGCCATCCCATCTTTTGTGTGTGTGTGTACACGTGCACCTCTCTGAAGCTCCCAACCTGGCCTAGGTAGACGCTGAGCAGAAGCAGGCCTTGCCTCCTACCCCAGATACAAGACAGCTGGAGGCCTGGGAGGTACTCAAGCCTCCTCTCCCCCCCCCCCAGCCTCACCCACTGTCTGCCACCCTGGGTCCTGATGACAACACTGCCCACCCTCACCCAGGGCTGCTCGCTCCTCTCCTAACCTGTCCTGAACACACATATAAGAGGGGCAGGGTGCAGCCTTCATGGAGCTACTCTTCTCCAAACACAGAACTTCAGTAACACCGTGACTGCTGGCAAGTGCTCTTGCTTAGGATTAAGAAACCCCGAGTTGGTTCTAGTCACAATTCTGCTCCCCAAATAGCTATGGGACCCTTGCTTTTTCTGGGTCTTGGTAAAGTGGGAAGACTCACTCTTGTCTCAGACCCTCCAGGGCTGAGGGGTGAAAATGGAGAAGGGAAAGTGGCTCTGCCTCCAGTAGCTAACTCAGTTGATCTGGGAAGATAGATAGGCTCCCTGCCCACTGGAAGTGCTCCTTACCCTGCAAACACACATGCCAAAGCTTTGCTTCTCTTATCTCTTAGGCTGCTCAGAGCCTAGATTAAGCGCTGACTCACACAACAGGCATGGGCCATTGGGATGGGGAGGGGGTCCCCAGGAGCAAATGTCTTGCTTAATGCCCCAGGCTAAGGCCCAACAAGTTGGAAACAGCAGCCCCATGAAAGAGGAAGTTCTCAAGTGTAACTAATCCCACCCATTCTGCCAATCCTTTCCTCCTCCCTTGCCTCACTCAAAGACACAGAGACAGACTTGAGGGACAGAAGCCTGATGAAAACTTTCCTAAGAGCTTGAGGTCCGACCCAAGAATGACTTCTGTGAGCAGATCATCTGCTAGTGAAGTGGGGGAGGCCTTAAACACTGGGGAGACCTGCATCTGTGGGGTAGGGAAAGATCAGTCACCTCAGAGGCAGGGGAATGGACATGGATGTCTGCTCTCATCTTTATAGCCCCGTGTCTCTTCTTAGCTTGGAAATCACAAAACTAAAGCACAGACAGACAGGATGCCCCACTTTGGGAACCTTTGTCTCAAGTTACTCAGGAACTTCACAACTACCTACACCCCTCTGACCCAGTCTTCCTTTGCCCAGAGCCCAGGGCCAGAATGGCCTGTTAAGTTACTGTGGTTTGGGGACGAGCAGACTTCCACACCAGCACTCCACTCCTAGATTTGATGGTCCTCACCCTCCTCAAGGTCTTCCTCCAAGGCTACCTCAGAAACACAGCCCTTACCACCCAGTGGAATGAAGGTGCTTTGTTATTTGTACATTCTTCCCCAAAATGACCCAGGGAATCTATTGCTAGGCATATACAATCCTAAGGAAGCCAAAACCAGAAAAGTTCCTATACACTCAAATATTAAAAACAGCACTTTGTGTAATTTCACATAATTGCAGACAAAAGTAGATGCCAACTGGGGAATGACTAAAACACAGAGGCTACACCAATGCAAACGGAAAGAAAGAAAAGATAAAACTGAAAGCCTTATAATTGTCTTGACCATGACGGAACTTGGCCTTGTCAAAAATGGTAAGGAAATGCCCCTCATCCTTTCTTTGGGGTGGGGAGGGAATATGGGTGTGGTACAATGTATATACTGTCAAGACTTGTTCCATGTATTGGTTGTTTTTCCTTTTCTAATCTTTGTTACAAGGCACAGTCCCCAGAGCTAGAAGGTGTGGGGAGGGGAGGGAAAGGACATATTGGGTAGTGACAGTTATCAGGCCTGCCTCCCCCAAAGTGTCAGTGGGTTCCCCAAGGGTGAGGGCCATGTTACTCACTCTACCCTCCCTGCCTCAATACATTAGCTCAGGAGCCTCCCAACCTCACCACTTAGCAAATAATGTGAACTCAGAGATGTTAGGCCTTGTTAGCTAGCTCATATGCACATCCCAAGATTCAAAACCTATAGAGACTTGGGAACATGTCTGGTTCCCAGCACTAAGGAGGCATTGAAGGACTGGAGAAAGATCCAATGATCAGTAACTCTGTGAGGTTAGACCAAAAAGTGTTAAGGTGTCTGATTTACAGGAGAGACGAAAGGCAAGTGGTCAAGGTCTGTGATAACCAGGAGAGAGAAAAGACATGGCCTCACTACTAAAACTCTAAGTGACAGGATTCTGGTCTCCCAAGTCATGTTCCTCTAGTGGAAATGACTTGGGAAGGGGGTCTCATTCCCTGAAAGGAAATTCAGGGTGGGAACAAAAATCAAGATGAGAGATGCAGTGCTGGAAGGGACCTTGGAGGACAGGTAGTCGAACATCATCACTTTACAATCAAAGGAAACCAAGGCCCAGGGAGGTTATAACTCTTGCCCAAGGTAACCCAGTTAGTGTCAGAAGCAGAAATTGAACCAAATCCTCCGACTCCAGTACCACGGAGTCTTTTAGGGTCTATCTGTAACAGCTGGAACAAAGGCTTAGGTCTCATCTTTTTTATGTCACGGACCTCTCCCTCGGCAGTCAGGTCAAACCTATGGACCCCTTCTTAGATTATTTTTAAATGCATGGGAGACAGAACATTTAGAATTTTAAAGGAAACCAATAATACTGAAATAATTATGAAAATTTTTTTTAAAAAAGAAAAAAAAAACCCAACTTCATTTCACGGTCCCTAGGTTAAGAACTGCTGCTCTCACTCCTTTCCCCAGACTGCCCACCAGAGCCTCGATCAGTGCCAGGATCTGAGGGCTGTCCCTGGATTTCATGAGGCCAAACCCACAACCAGGCACTAAGGCTGTCAGGGAACAACCAGAGCTTTTATCGGGGATGAAGGAGTGGTGGTCATGGTTTCAGAGACATCTTCCTCCATCTTTCCGTCTGGGGCTATCGTCCAGCTGGAGTTTGAGATCACACTGTCCACTTCTCACTCCGGGCCTCCACAGTTTGTACCAGCCCTTTGCCTAGGATGGCAAAATCCTCCAAAATGGCCTCCACATTGGGCACTGTCATGAGATCCCCGCTCTGTGACACCACCATCCTCCCTTGCACACTGGTAGCCTGTAGGGTACAGAAGAGGGAAAGGGACAGAACAAAGGTAGGCCTGGGATTAAAGGATGAAAATAGGAACCAAGCCTTTGCGGCAGCCTGGGAGACAAGGGACGACACAGGGAGCCCACCACTGCAGAAAGCTGGGAAATAATCCATGGCGGAAGATGATCCCAGGACAGAGGCCAATATTCTCCCTTTATCTTTAAAGGGCCACTCCTTCCCCCCAGCACAAGCGCCTAGAGATTCATCCATACCCAGATACTGATATACACATGTCCCTATCCCCTCACCTTGAAGGGTTGTGGCTGGAAGCTATCAGGCCTCCATAAGACACCAATTACTTCTCCACCATGTTGATCATAAAAAAACAGTGCCAAGTCTCCAAAGGCCTTCTAGGGGAATGGGAAAGAAGATAACATGTCAGACTGCATCAGAAGCAGGGCCCTAACCTCTCCCCTAGACTTGTCTCTATGGCCCTCAGGCTGCGATGAACACTTGCTTGAAATACCTTTTTCCTCATTAAACTATCCCTTTCTAATCAACACCTCCCCAAACCTTTCAGACAAAGGCAGGACTCCCATAACTTCCCTGTATGAGTACTACAAAGAAACTATGATTTCAACAACATAGGGATCCTCTCCACCAATGCAGCTCAAAACTAATCAGAGACATGGGATACTTAAGTAAGCAAAAATCTGTGCTTCTCTCAACATGGGGAGTTACTGGTATAAGAACTGTCAACACAGACTGAAATCTGTCAATGAACGAAGAGATCAACCCTAGAGTCCCTGAGGCAGAGAAGCTGGGTGATTTGTCTGGGATCACACAGCTGATGGCAGAGCCCAGCACCTTCCTATACCATAACACTTCTAACTCCTTACCCCATAAAAAACTTACCTCTACCCTTTATTTCTCAGGGCAGCTAGGTGGTGCAGTGAATAGAGTGCCAGGTCTGGAGTCGGGAAGACCCGAGTTATAATCTTGGCCTCAGACACTTACTAGCTGTGTGACCCTGGGCAAATCACTTAACCCTGTTTGCCTCGGTTTCCTCATCTGTAAAACGAGCCAGAGAAGGAAATGGAAAACCAGTCCAGTATCTCAGCCAAGAAAACTCCAAATGGAGTCATGAGGAGTTGGACAGGACTGAAATGAATGAGCAGCAACAATCTTTTATTTCTATTGTTTTCTAGTGGTGGTGGTGGTGTTCTTATGCTATCTCACTGTAAGCTCACTTTTACCTCCTACTCCATCCCCCAGATCTAGAACTGAAGGAAACCCATGAAGGTATCTCGTCCCCTGCCTTTATTTTAAAGATGAGAAAGCTGAAGCCCAGAGAAAGGTTAACTGGCCCAAGTCTCACAGGTAGTAAGCAAACATCCGAGTGGGATCAATCTCCTCATTTCAAAGGGAAACGAGATCCAGAGAAGGGAAGTAACAGGAAGTTGCTGGCAGAGCCAAGACTTGAACCCAGGTTTCCTGACTGCCAATCTAGGGTTCCTTCTACCACAAAAGGACTCCTGCAAAGTCCTTCTGCTCAAGGGAGTGAGATTGGGAAATGGGGACAAAGCTATAGCCCAGGCACCAGGATGGGGATGGCTGATGACTCCCTGAATTAATCAATAAATCCAAATCAAGCCTCAGAAATGTCTGCCCAGGCTGTGCTGGACATAGGGAAACAGCTGGAGTAGATGGTCTCTGAGCTTCCTTCCAACTCTCCGACCCTGTGGAGGAGAAGGCAAAGTCCTCCCTACTCCCCCTACTCCCAAACCCCACAATGCCTCACTCTCTCTCATCTGCCACTTTTCTTTTCTCCTTGTTTCCAACCCTTTGGTACCTCAAATTCTTCTTTCAAACACTTCCTACAGACTTACTGTGAGCATGCCAGGAGTAACTCAGCCTCTCTAAGCCCCATGGGATAGTAAGAAGTCTGCCCTCTCAGGGGAGTGACTAAAGGAGGGGGCAGAGAAAAAGGAATAAAGGGAAGAGGGGAGAGAAACAGAAAAGGGGAAAACAAGGAAAAGATGAGGGAGAGGCAAGCACTGAGAAGAAATGAGGGGGAAATAAGGAGGGAAGGGAATGGCAGGAATGATGAGGCTGTCACAAAAAAAGAGGGAAGCCTTGGAGCCAGCTACTAGATTGGGATTCAGGAGTCCAGAGCAGAAGTCAAGTTCGACCTAGGAGAGGAGGAAGGGTTGAGTAACTTACTCTGAGCTGACTGAGGTAGAGGCTTGGAGGGTCATAGCAGAGGACGGGCAGCCGGCGGGAGGGGCCTGTGCTCTCAAGGAGGCCTCTGCTGAAGGAGGCTGCTGGTAAGTCCACAGCCTCTCGGTGCCGGGGGATATGCCGGGGATTCAGGTGGATTAGCACATCATAGACATCCAGGGTTGGCCGAAATACCATCTTAAAGGAAGTTGTGGGCAAGAGTAAGTAGAGATGCCTCTCTCCCCCCAACCCCGTTTCAAAGCAGAGCCATTACACACCTATACAACACAGGAAGCCCTGGGAAATAAGCAAGGCAAGTATGATCCCCATTTGACCAAGCAGTAGACTGAGACCCCAAGATATGAACTGATTCTCCTATGGTCTCCTAACAGCTGGCTGAATCAGGAACGACAGCATCTTAGAACACAGAACCTGATGGCTAGGACTGGCAGGATCTAGTCTAGCTCTTTTCACTTTACTTACTGGTGATGAAAGCAGGCTAGAAAGAATGAAGAACTGGCCAAGTTCACACAGTTAGCAACAGAGTGAGAACCCAGAAACAGAACCCAGGTTCCTTTGAAAACAACGAACATTTCTGTGTAGAGGGTACAGAGCAGTGGACTATCTGTCAGGATAATAGGACTCTTGGCTCATCACTTAAATCTCTGGGTCGCAGTTTCCTCAACTATAAAATAGGGGGTTTGGACTAAATGACTTCTAAGGTCGTCCCTTACAGCTCTGGCCCTTGGATCCAATCTCCCCATCTCTCATTTTATCATCCCTCACCCCGTTCTACAAAACCTCACACCTGTCAGATTGGCCAAGATGACAAAAGAGGCAAGAAAACAAATATCAGTGGGTTCTGTGGGGAAACAGGTACACCAAAGTGCTGCTGGGGCAGCTGGGAACTGGTCCATCCACTCTGCAGGGCACTTTGGAAGGAACTACGCCCAGAAAGTTACCAAACTGCGCATGTCCTCTGAGCCAGCTGCACCACTATTATACCTATCCCTACTCCAAGAAGTCAAAGACAGAGGAAAAGAATATATACGTATAAATGTATTTATAGTACCTCTCTTCATAGTAGCCAGAAATTGGAAAGCAGGAAAGCCTTCTCCTACTGGGGAATGAGTAAACAAACTATGGTACGTGGATGTAATGGAATATATCGTGCTCTAGGAAATGGTGAAATAGATAATTTCAGACAAAACTAGGAAGATATTTATGAACTAACTGATGAGCAGAGGAATGAGCAGAACTAGAACAACTTAGGCAGTGATAACATCATAGAGAAAAACATCTTTGAAAAACTTTGGAATTCTGATCAATGCAGTGATAAACCAAGAGTTCAAAAGAATGAAGATGAAATATGCCATTCACTTCCTGACAGGTACTGAACTTAAGATGCAGAGACATACATTATTGGACATGACTAATGTGGGAATTTGTTTTGCTGCACTATATGATGTGTATTAAAAGATTTGGTTTTTTAGCTCAATTTGGAGAGAGGGGGAGGCCGTGAGAGTGACAGATTAATTTTTTAAAGTGCTTTAAATAAAAAGGAATTTCACCCTGATATCTCCAGACTCAGAAGGGTCCATCAAGTGCTTCTCTAGGATTGGCAAGGCTTTAGCTGCTAGGTTCACAAGGTGATGCAGGATCTGGAGGAAAGACATGTCAGGCCCAAAGATGCCCACCCCCCCACTCCCTACCACCAAACAGCCTGTTAACTAACTGGCAGACAGCCTCCTCTCCCACTTCCCCTTCCTGAGGGGAGCAGCAAATTTGGCCAAAAGTACAGGTCTGCCTGGTGACTGTGGGATTGAGGGCTATTCACCTGAGCTGAGGGTTTGTCCTTCGTCCACAAGGAGTGGCTTCGGTCTTGGGGTGTGGCGATGACCATGACAGGAAGGCGGATTCGAGATTCTAGGAAGTGGCTATGAATCTCTGCTTGATCTTCAGCTGGTGATAGAGGACCTGGGTGTCAGAATCTCTACTACCCAACCCAATATGGCAATATGTACATTATTTTATAAATGTACATATGTGTATATATATGTACATATTTGCAATTCTAAACTAAGAAACCAAATAAAACAACCATTTTCATATACATTGCAGAAGAGAAGAATATACTTGAAATTGTGAATCTCTATGTAAAGTTTCCTTTTAAGTATATAATAAATTCAAAATATGATTTTCAAAGCTGTCTGGATTATCTGTGATTCCTCTTGGCCTTCCTTCTATCTTTTCCTCATTTTTAAAAAAGGATAATACAATGCTCATTTCATCAAAACTATACTTATCACAATCCTAGCTTTGTGTGGGGCAGGTGTACGGAGAGATAACCAAGGAAGAGCTATTTTCCTTTCCAGACACAGACAGACAGACAGACACACACACACACACAGATATATATAAAACAAAAGAATCACACTCAGGCGGGAAGTTCAGCAAGTCCTCAAGGCATATCTAGAGTCCTGTCTCAGTCATTTAGGTTGATGTTTTTCCCCTCTGTCCTAGACTAGGCAGGGAAAGGCCTAAAGGTCCCCGGGAGCTAACCAATCTCCTCCTCCCCACCCATTCCAGGTGATATCTGCCAGTACAGGTAGAAGCAACTCTATGCTTCCACATGTGCACACACACCTGGGGAATTAGGAAGCTGACACTAAGCCTGCCTCCCGCCCCTCACCCCGCTCCTCCTAGCGCTCAACAATAGGGATTAGGAGCCCCTCCCCAGTCCAAGGGGTTCAGGTTACTGCATAGCACACATTTCACCTCCCAGGTCTGGGAATGCTGCCCAGTCAAGGTCATCTCACCCCTATCTTCCCACAACAGAGGGGCTATCCCTTCCCCAGCACCCCCTTATATCCAGCTTCGACCCTAGTCACCCATCCTGCTCTAGGGCCTTCAATGACCACTACCCCACCCATAACTACAGGATAAAATACAAACTCCTTAAGTTAACATTCAATGACACTCACAATCTAGCCCCATCCTGACTACTTCATCACCCACTCATGCTTTTCTTCCTGCCAAAAACCCTTTCTTCCTCTCTGCCTATGGAAACTGTCCTCCATTCCTTCAAGAAGAAACTCAAACTTCACCTCCTCCCTGAAGCTTGTCTTCACTACTCCAGCCCATAGCAAGGTCCTCCTTCTTTTAACAGCTCCAGAATTATAGAAGCTAAGGGGGGCAGCTAGGTGGCGCAGTGGACAGAGAACGGGCCCTGGATTCAGGAGGGCCTGAGTTCAAATCTGGCCTCAGACACATAACACTTACTAGCTGTGTGATCCTGGGCAAGTCACTTAACCCCCATTGCCCAACCCCCCCCCCAAAAAAGAAACAAAAGAATTACAGAAGCTAAGTCACTTAGTTCATCCTTGGGCATGCAATCTTATTTTTTTTTTATTATTATTTCATGCATCTTTTCATTTCTACTTGGACCATAACCTTCTCAAGGGCAGGAAAAGGGATGAGGGAGAGCAAGCAGGATAAGCAAAAGTTTATTGATCCACTGATTGGAGAAGATTCCTTCTCAACTGCTTCCTACAGTCACTAATGAAAAATTCTTCCCCTTCCACTGCAATCCTTCCGGCTTCAGTCTCAGCCCTTCTCCTTGGTGGTTAGAACAGTGCCCCTTTACTCACCTGTGAGTTCACCATTGAGGTTGACAATAAGGGGACTATTTTTCCAGTCAAACGTGGACAGCAGAGATAGGAACCGGAGAAAGCCAACCTGGGGGGAACTGAGGAAAAAGGAACTCTGGGAAAGAGCAGAGAACTCTGGACAAGGTTTCCTCTAGCTCTGGCTACTTCTTACACCACCACCTCCAACACATACCCACACAAATCCAAGGGTCCAGATTCCTTAGGGAAAGATCTCCAAATCTAGTCCTCCCTTACCTGATTTCCCCCTCTGGAAAGAATAGGCTGACGCTGTAGGACAGGTTCAGGTCAAGCCCAATGAAGATTTTCCCAGTCCAAAGGGTAGGAAGACAGAAAAGGCTGGGATGGAATGAAGGTAGCTCACCTGGGTGGGGTGAAGGGGGCAGGATGAAGGAAGAGGGAGGCAGCCAGTAGGTCTAAGCTCTCTTCTGTCAGTCCATCACTGAGGAGCTGGGCCCGGACCCAGCGCTTTGCCAGACGGGCCACACCAGAGAAAGCTGAGTGCTGCTGCTGGAGCCTATTAAGGTGAAGTGGGGGAAAGAAAAGCAGGGAAAGCAGAACTAAGTCTCTGGCATCTGGGTGCTCAGCCTGGAAAAGGGAAATAGGAATAGGACCCAGCTGCCCAACCCAGGGGGAGGAGAGTGTGGATGAGAGCCATGAGTCCAGGGATCCAGCCAAAGGCAGGGATGAGAGTGAAACAGGCATCAGGAAAGGGTTTGGGACTCAAGCATCCAGATTCCAGTCCACAGGAAAAAATGGGATTAGACAGTTACAGAAGGAAGATGACTCAAATTTGCAAACCCTATCCTCACCCCTCCAAGTCCCTCACCCATGTAAGGCACTAGTGAGCTGGGGCAGCAGCCGGGTTTCCCGATCTAGGAGGGCTGAGTTAGGTGTATCCCTCAGTGTGACCATTCCTTCTGGGGTACAGGACTCCTTCAGGATTTGGGGCTCCCGGTGGTACGCCACCCGAACTCGAAAAACATAACCGTCCTAAGGAATTGGGAAGAGAGGTGGGCTGACAAAAGGCTCCCAACTTGTCCCCCAGAGCCCTCTGATATAGAACTGAATTTTAAAGCTGGGCCAACCCTCCTGTTAGAGGCTATCTGGTCTATAGATGAAGAATCAATGACTTATCCTAAGCTCACACAACCAAGAGCAGAGCCAGGACTAGAAATCACACCACCAGTCCTGTGAACTTTCTCTCCAAAGCCCCAACATGCACACACCTGCTCTGGCCACCTCAGTACCTTGTAGACATCAGTGTGAGAGGCCTTAGCTGAACACCGGAGGCCATACTCCTGACTCAATACCTCTGCCAGGCGCAACTGGAAGGCAGCTCTAACTCGCTGTATGGCATCTGCATCCTGGGGCCACTGTCCACTGCCTTCCAGGTGACATACCACTTCAGAGAGGAGTAAGAGTAGGGGTTAGCTCTCTTCAGAACCCTAGAGTCCTCATTTCACTATCTACCCACCACCCCCAACCTAAATCACTTGTGGTCACTTGGCATCCCTTTACACCCAGTAGTACCTCACACAAAACTCCCTCACCATTTATGGGATCCACGAAAGCTGGGCAGGGCTTGCTAGGCCGAGGCAGCAATGCGTCCCGCTTTTCCAGGTGGTCGTGGAATGTGAAATCAAGCCAGACAGGCACAGGAGAGAATACCTAGGTAGGGGATGTATTTACTTGAGGAAATTTTTGTGTTTGGGCTGACAGCTGGCAGGGACAGGGAAAAAGGAAAAGAGGGGAACTGGGGTCTCCAGACTCCAAGACACTCACGTCAGTATATCGTAGGGCAGCATGAGCTCCCTGCACAGAGGTGACAGTCAGGGGCAGCCCTTTGAGACCCCACAGCTGGCGGCTCAGCTGGTCATAGGCACGTACCACCATTGCCAGTGCCTCCTCGCCTGTGCTATGAACCTACCAGGGGAAATACAGGAACAAGGAAAAACCACCATTAAAGCAGCTGGCATTTAATACTTGTAGAAGTGAACTGACCGAAGTCAATCAGAGCAGGAGCACCGTCTCTGACTGGGTGCTCCCCAAGAGCACCAGGGAGGAGTGCAGTAAGAGATGGCAGGCCTGCCTCAGGCTGATAGGCAGGACCGTGCCTCGTCCTCATCCCTCCCTCCTTTCCCCAGCAGCTGGTCTGCAATTGTCCCAGCATCTGAGTGGCCCAGTTTTGGTGGAGTCACTGCACCATCTATAGGGCAGGTTAGGAACTACACCTCTCCCAGATGCCCATAGGCACCAGACACTTTTTTTTTAAAGCAGGTTGTACACTAACCAGACTGAGTACCATCCCCTGGGATAGCGTTACTAACCCCCCTCCTCGATCTCAGGAGCCTCACCTCTTTTGGGGCTCTGATCAGAGGGTCCAGGGAGCCCCCCACATAATGGATGTAGGACTCAGCTATACCTGCGTGGCTGGGTAAGAGAAACAAAGAGACAGAAGATTGAGAACAGTGCTATGCGACTACTAAAAAGAGCAAATTCAATCTTAGGCTGCATTATTCTTCCTGTCACATTGTTGTGCTTAGAGCAGACCTGTCATTTTGTTAAGATACAGAACTCCCTATGAACAGGTAGTTCTCAAAAAATTAAAGCCATCTACAGTCATATGAAAAAAATGCTCTAAATCACCATTGATTAGAGAAATGGAAATCAAAACAACTCTGAGGTACTACATCACACCTAGCAGTTGGCCAAAATGAAAAACAGAAAAATGATTAAGGTTGGAGAAGATGTGGGAAAATTGGAACACTAATGCATTGTTGGTGGAGCTGTGAAATGATCCAACCATTCTGGAGAGCAATATGGAACTATGCCCAAAGGGCTATGAAAATGTACATACCCTTTGACCCAGCAATAGCCCTTCTAAGACCATATCCCAAAGAGATCATAAAAATGGGGAAAGGACCCACACGTACAAAAATATTTATAGCAGCTCTTTTTGTGGTGGCCAAGAATTGGAAATTAAGGGGATGCCCATCAATTGAGGAATGGCTGAACAAGCTGCGGTATAGAATGTAATGGAATACTATTGTGCTATAAGAAATGGTGAGCAGGTTGACTTCAGAAAAACCTGGAAAAACTTGAATGAACTGATGCAGAGTGAAGTGAGCAGAACCATGAGAACGTTGTACTCCGTAACAGCCATGCTGTGCAATGACTAACTTTGATAGACTTAGCTCTTCTCAGGAATGCAAGGATCTAAGACATCTCCAAAGGCCTCACGATGGAATGCCATCCACATCCAAAGAAAGAACTATGGAGTTTGAATGCAGATTGAAGCATACTATTTGCCGTTTTTTTTCCTTCTGTTTTGTTTTGTTTCCTCTTTCTTGTGGTTCCTCCTAATGGTACTAATTTCTTACAACATGACTAATGTGAAAATATGTTTAATAGGAATCTATATGTAAAGCCTATATCAGATTGCATGCCATCTTGGGGAAGGAAGGAGAGAAAAATTTAAAACTCAAAAGCTTATGGAAGTGATTGTTGATAAATCAAAATAAATTAATAAAAAACTAACAACAAAAAAAAAGATAACACAACTCCCTGTGAGGTACCTCCCTCATCAATGCAGTTTACCCACTGCCTGCATCCTAAGAGTTTTCGAGAAGAGCCAAGGCCCTGAGACGTCACATACCTTGCCCCAAGTTCATCTAGCCAGGATATCAGCTGCAGAACTTGAACCCAGGTTTCCCGTCTCTTAGAAGAGATCTCTAACCACTACTCTATGCTATATCCTTTACTACACAGGGTCCCCAAAGTCTTATTGATATTTTTAGTTATTAGAGCCATTAAATTATTAAGTTAAAATTGTATAAAGCTTAAAGCCACGCTAAGACTTTGGGGACACTCTGTATTACCATACTTAGTTCACATTTACCTCCAACTGTGTCCAGTTCTAGTCTTAAGGAAAGAGCACTGGAGTGAGTTGGGAGACCTGGTCTCTAGTTCTGGTAGCTGTATGACCTTAAGCCAATCAATTAAAGACACTGGATTAGCTGACCTAAGACCCCTTCAAGCAACAGCAGTCTATTAAGGACACTCACAGTTTTAGGAGGTGAGTGATCACCTGATGGGGCAGGAGGCGTTTCTCGGCCATGGACTCAGCCTTCCAAAGAACAGCCTCACGGATTGACCCATCCTGGAAACGCCTTAGCTCTGATCGTGAGCCCCAGAACTGGCGGAAGTCAGCAGCCTGGAGTGGGGAAGGGGGCAGAAGTAGCACAAAACACAGCGAGAACAGAGAGAATAGTACTACCACCAAGCAGCTCTTACTTTTTTATCCCGTTTCAAGGAAAAGAAAGTCTCAATCAACCTCAACTGGACAGGCTCCCTATTAAGACTCGAGTTCCCGGGGCACCCCACATCTCCCCCTTCCTCAGGGCTCTGGGCTCCTCACCTCTGGGTGGTCAGCTTCAGGTCCCATCTCTAGAACGCTGACTAGTCCCTCGGGCCGCAGCAGCAATCCCAATGACAAGGCACCCTGGTCCTTGTGCTTTGGGGGGTTCTGGTTGATCTCCCACTGTAGTGAGGAGTAGGGGGAGAAGAGGAGAGAAGAAGTCCATGACCTGGTTCCCTGTGGGTCAGACTCCACTCCTTTTCCAATGCTTTACCCAATGTCATCCCATTCCCTTTTCCAAAGGCCCTCAGGAAGCCTCTGTAGCTCATTACACTGCTCACCTGGGGCACAGGGGCCCTCGAATGGGTCAACAAGATCAGACGGGAGCCCAGGCCCCGTTCCAGAAGGGCAGTCAGGGTAGGAAGTATGGCAGCCACATAGTCTCCTCCGTGGTCCTGCAGTTCTGACCATAGCTTCAGCCTTTGGCAGGCAGCATACAGACAGCTCAGGGGATGTATACTGGGGAGGAGACAGGGATCAGGAAAGAGAAGAGAAAGGACAAAGAAAAGTGAGACCCCAAGATGAGCATAATTAAATAGCCCTCCAGGTCTTTTCCAGGAAGCTCACCTGGATTCTCACTCCCTTCCTCTCCACCCCCACCCCCGCACTCCGTCTCACTGAAGAACGTGGTCGAAGCTTCGGATCATTGGTTTAGGTGTCATGAGCAGCATCTGGAACCCATCTACAGTCTTATCATCCAGCACAGCCATAGACAGCTGGGCTTCATGCTGCACCTGAGAGAAAAGGACAGATGGGGAAGACTCAGGACTAGGGGCAAAGGGACAAGCTTCCCCAGGGTTGGAGCACAGAGGACAACACTGCAAAGACATAGAACTCAGTCTTTCCATCCTGTGACTGTGCATCCTCTGCTGTCCTCAACACAGAGTAGAAAACAGATGCAGATACCTGCTGGTATGTGGGAACTGTGACATCAGCACAGAGATTAAGGTGTCCTGAAGGGTCCACAAAGACCACGGAGAAGGCCTGATGGAAGTCAGCCACAGCTGGCTGAGGAGGAAAGCAAAGACGTCAAGGACAAAAGAAGGGTGGCTGAGCCCTCAGCTCCCCAAACCTCTCCCCCAGACCCTCTTCCCATGAAGGAAGCCCCCATCTCCCCCCCATACCCCAGCAGTTCCATCTCATCTCCATCCCCAACATCACCCCACCCTTCCCACCAGGGCTCCCACTGACCAGAGATGGATCCGAACTACGACACAAGCTGATGCCATTGACCGTCAGATCCGTGGCAGCTGGAGTTGGGAGTGACAGAGGAAGATGTGTAACAGGTCAGCCCTTGAGCAGTAAGGAGGAAGGCCATCCACCTCCCACACCTCCCAACCCCCACACTTCCCACCCAGATCTGATCTCCCTCTCTGACTCACTGAGCTACCAGACACCTCAGTCACTGTCCAGTCCAACCCTGCCCTCAAAGGAATGCCCACTACGATACAGCCGACAGGTGGTCATCCAACCTTGCTTACAGACCTCCAGGCAGGGGAAACCCATTACCTCCAGAGGCATCCTGTTCTGTCTTTTGATAATTCTAAATGTTAGTAAAATTTTCCTCATAGGAAGCCTGTATTTGCCCATATGCAAAGTCTACTAGTGCTCCTAGATTTGCCTTCTGGAAACAAACAGAACTAGTTTAATCCCCCCTTCCACACGATGGCCTTTCCAGCGCTTGAAGGCAGTGTTCACATTTTCCTTCTCTTCCTGGCTGAACATCTGCCGTTCCTTCGATCACATGGCACTGACTCAAGGCCTTTGCCACTCTAGCTGCCTTCCCTTGGAAGCCATCCACACCGTCTAAGACGTGGTGCCTAGAAGTACACAAATCTGCCAGGGCAGACTACAGGGGGATGCTTACCTCCTCATTCCTGGAAGCACTGCCTTCCAGATGCAGCCTAAGACTGAATTAACTTTTGTTGGCTGCCATATCACACTGCTGGCTCATGCTGAGCTTGTCACCAATCAAAAATTCCCAGATTTTCTTTTAGACAGATGCCAAGTCTTTCCCCGGACTTGTGAAGTCAATTCCTCTGTAAACCTCAGTCTACTTGTTTACAGAACAGGACTGATAATTAATTAATACTCCAATGTAACACCACAGAGAACAGGTGGAGGAAATCTTTCCCAATGCCCCAGGCCCACAGTTTCTTCATCCACTCCCACCCATCTCTCCACCTCACCTAGAAACTGCAGAACATTCCTCAGCACTTGATAGCCACTCATAGACTTGCTGATTTTTCGAGCAGACACTAAGAAGGCCACCAGCATGGAAACAATGAAACCACTGAAGCCTCCGGTGCCCTACGGGAAAGTTTGAGGATGGAAAGATTGGCCTTGGAAGAAAGAGCCCCTTCAGCCCGGCCCAAAGAAGACTGATGACCCCATTCAAAAGGAGGGCATATGAATAGCACTCCTGGGTATCACCACCCAGGACAATCCAGAAGCAACACCATCTACTCTGAGACTAAACCCTGGCACTATGTATGCACCCAGGGTTACAGTGGCAGGGCATGGTTCCCAAGAAAGACCTGGACAGTAATGCTTCCAATGGACTAGGACAAAATGGGGCATCCCATTCCCGGGCCAAACCTTGTCCAGATCTCGCTGCCGCAGCCAGACTTTAAGCAAAATAATGCCATCCCGAAGGCCAGGGGAGGAGGCAAGCATGGCTGACAAAAGGTGAAGGTGAGATTCCATAACTTCATCACAGAGGAGCAAGGTGTTGTAGTGAGGGGTGGGAGAATCCAGGATACCTGAGGTGGGGATCGAATCAGGGAGAAATTAGTAAAGAAAAACTAGACTCCCTCATTTCCCTAGACCTTTTTCCTTCCCCTCCAGAATGCCCCACACCATGCTATCTCCAAGCATCATACCTTACCTCCAATCCTCCTCCCCTAGACATGCCTTTTTTCTCCTAAAGTCTCCCCACTTCTTGCCCTTACCCTCCTCTGGGGTAGTCTTGTCCCAGAACCAGGCAGTACGGACATTGTTCTTGGAGGGCATCAGGCGGCATAGACGGAAGAAGCCGGGTGGTGGGCAGGGGTACAGGCGCACAGTGACCAGCCGCTCATCCTTTCCTGGGGAGGGGGAGGGGACAATGAGATCCTGGATCTCCTCTCAGCCTGGACATCCTATTGGGAGAGTCCAGAGGACTCTACCTTAGTCTAGGGACCCTTCCAGGGCAGTCTCATACTTCTGAACATAGCACGCACCTGCAGGACGGAGCAGCAGCAGAGGCTTCAGGTGACAACCATTTATGTAGGAGAAACGGACACTGCCAAAGAGTGGGTCCCGGGACAAGTGGTGGCCCAGATGAGCTATGTAGAAGGCGCGCTTTCTTAGGTAGCGCTGATTTAGCCCGTCCTTGTCCTGTAGGATCTCCTGTGGACAGGGAAAGAGCAGTATAGAACAATACCAGATGACAGGGAGATAGCAATGTGTGATATAGATGGATCAGTGTGGGATAAAAAGCCTTACGTTCAGGCCTCACTGTCATTCATCGGTTGTATGACTGCTGGCAAATGACTTAGGTTTTTCTGGTTAAGCTAAGTATGGAACGTAATACCATACCCACTTCATAGAAGAGGAAACTGAAGATCAGTGATTTGTCCAAGGTCACAAAACAAATTTGTGGTAGAACCTAGACTGGAACTTGGGTCTCCTCATTCTTAGCCCACCTTCATCTATTAGACTGAAGTGAATAACTTTTAATAGAGGAATATTTCTAATAGTAGTTTCAACGTTTTGCATATAGGTTTTAAGGGGGAGCCAAGATTGGTAATAATTATTACCTCCGTTTTATCCTGTATCTATCTTAATAATAATAAAAAAAAGCTAGAATTTACATGTATAACATGTATATGCTAGGTACTCTAAGTGTTTTACAAATATTATCTCATTTGATCCTCACAACACCACCACCCATCTTGCCTGTACATAGTTGTTTGCATGTTGTTTCCCCCATTAAACTGCAATCTCCTTGACAGCAGCTTGTTTTTTAGCTTTCTTTGTATCCTCAGAGCTTAGCACAGTACCTGGCACAAAGGAGGCACTTAACAAATGCTTGGTGACTTTGACTCCATATTTACAGAGTAAATGCTGTTCTCTAATTCTTTTCACACATATTGACTGCCTCAATTTGACAATATATCCATTTCAGAGATGAGAAAATAAACGGCTAGAAGTGAAATGACTTGCTCAAAGTCATATATTAAGTAGCTGGCAAAAACTGGGACTGGACAGAATTCAGATTCTCCATTCCCAACAAGGGGTTCTTTCCATGATGCTGACCTGGCTAAGACGTACCCTTTTCTTCCTCTCCTAGGCCATTTCCACATTGGCGGGGCCAAGTTTAGGACTAAAATTCTGCAGGCAGCACCTGGCCTGTCTGAATTCAAGTCCCTCCCAAACCCTTCCCAAATATCACTTCTCTAGCATAAGCCTTACCTTTGGCATAGTCAACACTACATCTACATTGACCTCTGGTCGGACACAAGTTCCTAGCAGGTAGCTGCCCACCACAGTGACCTGAGTGGGAGGCAAGAATTGGAAGCGACCTTTCACAGCATAAGGCTTCTGGATGAAGGGTACTCTTACACCTTTGGGCAGCCATGACTGGTCTGTCATCTGAAAAAGTAGAAAGATAAGTTGGGAGAGAATATCAGGGAACATCAGGAAAAAAAGAGGGAGAGAAAGATGAAAAGAAAAAGGAAGAGAGCAATATCGTGAGCGGGCACACAGAGAGACAGACGAAAAGAAATTATTTGAAAGGCAGAAATAAGACTCCGAGTACGGAAGGGAGCATGGTCTAAGACGGATTATACTTAGCTCTCAGGTGTAGAAAGCCCTGATGCCACCATCCCATTTCCTCTAGCCCCTGGGGGCCCTGCAGCTCCAACCCTGGCTACCAGCCCAAGCATACTAATATCACTGTGCTCTCAACCCTGTATTTCCTGACCTGAGCTTCTAGGAAGGGAGAGAGTTCCTGGATATCATCCTCCTTGTCTCCCAGGCAGTAGTGACTATACCATTAGGACCCTGGGGACCCAGGAATTTAGATGTTGTAGTCACAATTCCAGTTCCTAAAGGGCTCTCTTCTTGTCCCCCTATTTGGAACTGCCCAACCCTCACGTCCTATCCCCGATAATCCCATCCAACCACTGCATTCACACTGGCCCAAACTCACCTCAGTCACCGTGGTTGAAGGGACAGTAAGAAGCCATTGCTTAATCTCATGCAGGAAGGTATCGATCCGCTGTTGCTTCTTTTCCTTCAGCCTCACCTCCTTTAATAGCTCCTCCATCTAGAGGGATTGGATTAATAGGGAGGTCTTCAAAGCTCTCCCCAGACATCGAGCCACAGTGGTCACAACAAGGCCACTAGAAGTGAGGTGCCCTACTGGGTCCTCCCCACCCTCAGTTCCTCCAGCCTCAGGTCCTAGATCTCGGGAGGAATGGGAATACCAATTCTGACCTCTCCCCATACTGGTCCAGTCTCCACCCTTTTATGTTTGTCCCATCATAGAGCTCCCTCCTTCAGAACTTCAGTTCACCCATTGGGAACAACTAAATAATAACAACATAATAAATAATAACAACTAAACAACTAATATCCTTTGTGTCTGGGAGTGGGAAGGGGATTTCTCTGCAATCTTGTTTCTTTGAACAGGAAAACACTGGGTGTCTCAGTTCACCTAAGCACCTCAAAGGGGCCTGTGGACAACAGAATTACTAAGGTGGGTGAAAAAACTGCGATTATTACCCATAGGAATGAGGAGTATTCCCACTCTAATGCCAACTGTCTGGCTCTCTATCAAGTACTTCATGGGATAACACATGTCTCTACTAATTTATTGGCCTAGGAGAAAGAAGACTTAGTTCATCTCTCATTCCTGTCACTAACTAGCCAGTCTCGTCACCTCTCTGAGCCCTAGGTTCTTCTGTCGAGGGAAGGAGGTAATGGTCCCTAAGATCTCCACCAGCTCTAACATTCTATAATGAACATGAGGGGAGGGGAAGGAACTAAGTATTTATATATTGCCTACTATGTGACAGGCACTGTACTAAGTGCTTTACAAATATTTCATTTGATCCTCAAAACAACGTAGAAAGGTGGGTGCTGTTATTACCCCCATTTTACAGTTAAGAAAGCTGAGGCAGGGGCAGCCAGGTGGGGCAGTGGATAGAGCACCAGCCCTGGATTCAGGAACACCTGGGTTCAAATCCGGCCTCAGACACATAACACTTACTAGCTGTGTGACCCCGGGCAAGTCACTTAACCCCAACTGCCCTCACCAAAAAAAACAAAAAAAACAAAAAAACAACAAACACACACACACACACACACACACACAAAACCACCAAAAGAAAGAAAGAAAAAGAAAGCTGAGGCAAACAGAGGTTAACTAATTTGCCCAGGGTTGCACAAGAGTGTCTTCCTGCCTCCAGGCCCAGAGCTCCACCTACTGCTATGTAGCTGCCAAAAGTATTTATAGCCTTTCACAGATGTCAAAGATTTCGATAGGATATACTCTTCCAAGGTAGGGATTGTTTCCTCCTTTTTTTGGGGGGGGGGGGGAGGAGACTTTGTTATTGTATCCCAAGCATCTAACACAATGCCTGCAGATGCTAATCTACAGATGCTTTTTCAATTCGAAGATTTCATTTGATCATCCCAATATCCCTGTGAAGTGGGCAGGGCAAGGGTTAATTTCATCGAAAAAAACCAAGGTTCAGAGGCTGGGTGAGGGTCTCAAAATCACAGTGAGTTAGTAGTGGGGCCAGGACTAGAACCCAAGCCTCATGACTCCCAGTTGAGTGTTATTCCTCTTACACCAGACTGCTGTCTGGCTCACAACTGAGAAAATGAAGAGCTGCCTCTAAGAAGTCACACTTGACTTTAGAGAGGGCTAGGGAACCTTCATTTCAGGAAGTGCCCCCCCCCCCCCGCCTCCCCTACCCATTCCTATCACCCCTCCCATCCCTGCTGCCCCCAGGCAGGGGTCCTTCCTCCCCCTTCCCAAGGTCCTGACCTGCATCCGGAGGAGGTTGGAGTGGAAGAGGTTTTCTGTCTCTTTCATCTGGCTCAGCTCCTCATTGGTGGGCTCCTGGTACAGCTGGGCTTCGCTCAGCTCCACAGGCGGAGGGAGTCCCCCATCCTGAGTCCCGGCCCGACGCTTCTTGGAGGGAGGGCTGTCTTTGTTCTCCTCTGACTCCGTGTCTTCCATAATGGGTTCTATCATCTGTGGTCAGAGAGAGGGAGGTGATCTCATCCTCCAATCTAACCCCTGTGTGTGTGACCTTGCTCCCTACTTTTAGATCTTCTGAGGCTCTGCTACCTTACTGTATCATATGGGTGTGGACAAGTTCATGTAGCATCAACCCTACCTGAAGGAAGAATCAGCACCTAACACAGTGTGATTTGTTCCTCCCCCATCCCCAAATCACCTACCCAAAGCTGTCTATCCTAGTGCCTGAAATTCCAAAAATGGCATTTCCTTCTCTCTTTTTTTTTTTGGTGAGGCAATCGGAGTTAAGTGACTTGCCCAGGGTCACATTTCCTTCTTTCTATTGCTCTCTCCAGGCTCCTCTTTTAAACTGCAGAGGCCTGTGGGAAAGGACACTTATTCAGATCCTAAGACTTTAGAGTGGATGCAGAAGGGCTTTATACTTCTGAAAGAGAGGAAAGTATGTACTTTGAGCAAGTTTCATACAAGTTGGCCTGCCCTTAATATAGATTGCATTGCAGACCACTTTTGTCTTCAGCTGCAGGAGAGACTTGCTCTTCTCTACCAGAACATTTTTTATTCAATGACTAAACCTACAAGAACTTTTGTAGCTTAATCTTCACATTCCCTTCAAACAGGTTCAACAAATCAGATCTTCACCCACAGCGGTGCCTACCTATGTAACAGTTACTACATGTGACACATACAAAGTGTAGTACATGAGTGGAAGATTCATTGAATGACACAGCATTTAACAGACGGAACAGAAGTAAAATAACTTAATCGAGGTCAACAAACACCTTGCTACAGAAATAGGATTTAAAACTCAGGTCTTCTCTCTTTATATCTAATGCTCTTTCCCTGCTTGATGTGTATAATGGAAACAAGAGGTGTCAGATTTCCTCTAGTATTGCAGGTACTACAATATAGAACCCCTGGTATTTTTATTTTCTGTCAGTCATGTCAGGAAAGATAAGAGAGTGCTAAGAACCAATCTGCCCAAACATACTTTCCTCTCCTTTCCACCTGTTCAAAGTTCCATCTCCTTTAAGAAACAGGCCCACCCCACCCCCAAATCAAAAGTGATCTGACATACTTCCTATAACCTATCAATATTTAACAATCCCCACTATAAGCCCAATCATGCATTCAAAGAGTCGGGAAGACAGAGAAGGAGGGAGTACGGAAAACAAAATGCACCCCGAATGATGATAACACCAGATAGGATATGGCAAGAATCAAATGAATAGCATAGACAGCAAGGACCCAGTTCACAGCAAATGACTGGGAGTTCTCATTCCTGGCTCGGCTGATAACTACCTGTCTTTCATGATTATTTTAGCAAGTCGCTTCATCTTTCTAAGTGTGTTTCCACATCTGTAAAATAAAAGCATCGGATGACAGACTAAAAGAATCTTAGAATCAGAATGGACCTCACAGGCCATCTAGCCCAACTCGTAACCTAAACATGAATCTTCCCTTCAACATATCAGATGACTAGTCACCTTGCCTTTGCTCTAAGGAAGAATCCACCACTTCTTGAGGCACTAGGGAGTAGTATAATTCTTAGGAATTTTTCCTTGTTCCTGGAGAACATGTTCCTGTTTCTGTAATAATGCCCACTGCTCTTGGTTCTGTCTTCTGGGACCAAGTAGAACAAGTCCAATCTTAAACATGACAACATGGATGCTAACTGCTATTCAGCAGGTAAAGCTATCCCTCCTAGCTCTGTATCATCTTCAAATATGTAAACAATACTAGCAAAAAGTATCCACCTTAATGTTTACTTAGTTGATTTTAATAAGCATGCCATCTACTACTTTATTCAAGTCACTGACAAAAATGTTAAAACAACACACAATCAAGAAAAATCCCTGATGTATGGCACTACAGACCTCCTGGAATACAGAAGTAAACCTATTAATACTATCTTTTTCAGTCATGTCATTCAAACAGCTTGGAATCCACATAACTGTATTAGCTGGTCTCTAGTCTACATCTTGACCTCAAGAAAAAAAAAGCACGAAAAGCTTTGTTAAATTTCTTTCTAAAGACTTTCTCCTTTTAGTTCCTAGCCTTATGATTCTATCACTTCCGGAACAACAATATCATGGACTTAGCATTTACCCATTTAATTTCTGATGAAGATGCTACCACTCCTCTCCCAAACTGAGCGTGCTAAATCTTTCAAACCTGCGTCCAAGTCTCATCTCCCCTTTTCCTTATGGAAAACTCGGGTCACGATAACAATGCTTAAACGAAAAACTCAATCATGAAAAGCCCACGGAGCTCAGGAACGGTCCGCCCGCCCCCTCGCTGCGTTTGGTTGTCCCAGTCGCCCCTCAATCACGCTGAACTGTTTTCAATGACTGGAGGTGTCTCTCCTCCCCGACCCGGGTAGACACCACACCAGAGCACCACCGGCACCCCCCCTTCCCCCGCTTTAGGCCCCGGGCCCATCAAACACTTGCCGACTGGCCCCCAGAGATCTCGGCTCCGGGTTTTAGGGGGCGAGGGCCGGGAGGCAGGACCTTAGCTATCTCCCTGAAATTCCTCTCTCTGCAGAGTTAACGGATAACGGTTGCTCCCAAACCCACGGCCTCTCCCGGCGGGAGACCTCCCTTCCTCACCTCGGGCTCCTTAGGAGCCCCGCGTCCCGGTGCTCCTTCGGGCGCCGGCCCCATAACTCCAGCCGCAAGGCCCAACACCGTAGCCGCTCCCCACGTGGGCGGAAGTTCCGGACGAGCGCCTTCCCACCAGCTAGCGAGCACGCGACCGGGGCCCACCCCCATTGGTTGATCGCAAGAGCGTTCCTTTGCCATTGGGCCTGACATTCTCTACGCACCTCCCCTTTTCCTGGAGAGATGGACGGTCAAAGGGCCTAGGGCGGGATTTCGCATTGCGGCGTTTTACGACAATTAACCGGAAGTTCGTCGAACGAAGCACTTGAGAGCAAGTACTCTCACGGGGGTGGTTTACGCTGTATGAAAGAACCTGTGTTGTGACCTTCTCCACCTAAGGGCCTATTGGCTCTGTGCCTGCGCCCTCCCAGCCCTAGTAGTCCGTCTTTTGGTTACAGCCCATGAAGGAGCCTCGTCAGGCCCCTGCCATCAGCCTTCTCTGGCCAGCTTTGTTTTTTCCACTTACCCACAATCCTCCCCGTTCGCTTCGACGGGGCGGGGTGGGGGGGGTTTGGGGCCTGAGAAATCTTTCAAAAACATGTCTTTTCAGGGCTGGATTCTGCCTGTCTCTGCCCCAGTTTACGTGCCAGCGTCGAGGCCGACTGATCCCGGAGGGGAGAAGCCCCCTGTTGTCCCGTCATCACTTAGAGGTTTGAGACGTGCCTGCCTTCTGGGGAAGATGCCTTGTTCCTGGCCTTGAACGCCTGCTGTCTTGTCCAAAGAAATGCCAGCGAAGGAAGATCCTTTGTTTGGGAATTCTAAAACCTGGGTTTGTTTCCCAGCCCCATTGCTGTCATTCAACCTCTGCATCACAGGATTGCAGTTAAAGTTGACAGGGACCTCATCTACCAGCTATAGTCCTATAGTTCTTTTAAGGGCTGAACGCCTTGAGAAGGCTTTCTACAATCTGCTCCTCCTTCATTTTTCTTTTACTCTCAATTCTCAGCAGTCTAGCTTCTGACTTTGTCACCCGAAACTGCTTTCAACAAAATTACCAATGAATTCTTTTTTTTAAAGAAAATTGTTAGGATTTATTTTTAACCTTCATTTAAAATTTTTTTTTAATTTCGAATTTTCTTCCTCCCACCTCTCACCCACCCATTGAGAACGCAAGAAATATTATATCCATTGTACATGTGAAATCAGCAAAACATTTCCATATTAGCCAAGTTGCAAAAATAAATAAAAAAAGGTGAAAAATAATCCTTTGATCTACACTCACACTCCATCAGTTCTCTCTCGAGGTGATAGCATTTTTTCACCATAAGTCCTTCAGAATTGTCTTGGATCATTGTATTGATGAGAATAGCTAAGTCATTCACAATTGATCGTCAGACAACATTGCTGTTATTGTGTAGGATGTTCTGTCTCTCCTCACTTCACTTTGAGTTCATATAAGTTCCCAGGTTTTTCTGAAACCATCCTGCTTGCCATTTCACAATAGTATTCCATCACAGTCATATATCACAACTTGTTCAGCCATTCCCCAACTGATAGGCATCTCCTAAGTTTCCAATTTTTTGCCACCACAAAAAGAGCTGCTTCAAACACTTTTGTACATGCATATGAGTCCTTTTCCTTTTTCTTTGACCTTTATGGGATACAAGTAGTGGTATTGCTGGGTTGAAGGGTATGCACAGTTTTATAACCTTTGGGCACAGTTCCAAATTGTTCTCCAGAATGTTGGATCAATTCACAGCTCCACCCAATTTTTCCATATCTCCAACCTGTGTCATTTTCCTTTTCTGTCATATTAGCCAATATGCTAGGTGTGAGGTTTTACTTCAGAGTTGTTTTAACTTTCATTTCTCTAATCAATAATTATTTAGATACTTTTTTTCATGTGACCAGAGATGGCTTTGGTTTCTTCTGAAAACTGCCTTTGACTATTTATCAATTGGGGAATGACTCAGAGTTTTATACATTTGACCCAGTTCACTATATATTTGAGATGAGGCGTTTATCAGAGAAACTTGATGTAAAAATTCCTCCCCCCAGTTTCCTGCTTTTCAACTAATCTTGGCTGCATTGGTTTTGTTTGTGCAAAAACTTTTCAAATTTAATGTAATCAAAATTATATGTTCCTTTTTTAAATAATAAATTCATATTGCCAAATTTTCTTATATCAATTAATTTCCCTCCTGTGTATCTTCCCCATCTCAGAAAGCTATCTGATACAATGAAATAAAATTTTAAAATTTGAAATTGATTTGAATGATATGAGGGATTTTCTAGGTAATGTACAATCAAACAATGTTTTAATCCCTGCAGTTATACAAAAAGCTAAAAAGACAATAAACAATTGCCATCAGTAGGACTAAAGCTAAAAGAGGCTTCAGTTTAATGAAATATACAAATACAATTTGTATGAGGATGAGAAATAGTTTGAGTGTATCACATGTTAATAACAATAAATGTATTGAGAAAAGAAGTGATTGGCATTCGATTCCATTTATTAAATCATGGTTGAATTGCAACTGTAGGTTGACAATGGATAAAAGAGTACAAATCAATGAAACCATTCTTTGAGGATCCATTGGCTATATGGAATTGACAAGAAAGAGTATTGTGCATTTTATTATTATTTGTTAATTTGTATACTACACATTCTTTATGTCAGTAAGAGTTATAATAAATATATACAAATTGTGTACACATACACACACACAAATACATACACATACATGCACTTTTTTCTAGTGAGCCTGCTTTTAAAACATTTACAAGTACACCATTGCCAGGAAGTCATGTCAGTATGACCAAAGATTAGTGGAAGCTGTATCAATGGATGAGTAGTTTGAGCCTTGGGTATTAATTAAGCCCCAGTTGACTTTTAGGAAAAAAGTAGGCTAACTCATGTTGTGGGAGATAGGGAGGGAACTTTGGTCCTAATGTTGGTCCTATTATACCTAGCTAAGATATTTGAGCTAAAACAAGGTAGGGTAGTTTTAACTCTGCTCTTCCAAAAGGAAAAACTCTAGAGTCATGATTAAAACAAGGGTACAAAGTTTAGGTTAGAGTTTTTGATTCACTTAAATATAACAGTAATGTTAAATAACTAAAGAATCATTTTCCTAAAACTACTTAATGTGGTCAAGGGTGGAAAAAGAGGCATTGCTCTTAACTGGTTAAATAAAATAAAATCAATCATATGCTTAAGTTTGGTTATTATCTTAGTCCTTTTTCCTAGAAATAAGAGTTCCTCCCTGAATTTTGACTTAGTTTCTCTTTAAAAAACTAGTTAGATCACTTAACCCTAATTGCCTCACCAAAAACAAACAAACCAAAAAACAAAACAAAACAAAAGTAATTAGGCCTTTCATAAGAATGAAACTGAGATTTCAGAGCCAGGCCACCTCCTTGGCACTGAGAATTAAAAACTGATAGTTTTCATTCATCTGAATGAAAAAGGGACTTCAGATTAGGGCACTGATGTAATATATTTTATTATTTTATAAAACAACTGAGGCCTATGTGGATATGATTCGAAAACTATTCAATGAATATTTAACAATATTTCACCTTCCCCATAATTATGAGCACTCTTAACATTTCCATTATCCTGTACTTTTTCATTGTTTAACAAATTTGGATTATTGATCCATTTGGACTTTATTGTATACAGTGTGATCTGAATTAAACTGATTTTTCCCATAATGCTACCCAATTTTCTTTTCCTTTTGTTTTTAGCTTTTACAAAGGGATACTTTTTAATTCAAAGATACAGTGAGAACAGACATACAAACATTTCCTCCTACACCTCTGGGGCATAATCTGCTTTATACTACCTAGATTTAGAGAAGGGGAGATTAGTTTCCCTAATTCTAAACTGAGTTTAAATTCCTACATAGCATTAGGTCCATCAAGTTCAAATCCAAAACCCAACTGGGCTGACCTTTGCACCTCAGGAGTAGCTGCTAGATTGGCTGTGAAATCCACCCTAGATTCCTGAATCCCTAAACCCCCATGACTCAAGCTCCAGAGTTAGATCACAGACTCCATTCCTTGAACACAGAACAGAAAAGTATAAACAAAAGTATAAACTTGACCAAGGAGCAAAGAGCAGCCTTTGGAATTGGCTCAGCGGTACCATCTGGCAGTAATTCCACATGTGAATGGGAAGTCAACGCTATGTAGAAACTTAAGTAAGTCTGAGCCCACTTACCCTAGATAATTTGGTGGTACAGGTCAGACTGTGTACCTGAAGTGCTGGGGAAAATGTCTATACTTTAGTTTTTTGCTAGATCTTTAAAGTAAATATCCCTTTGTAAAGGCTGAGTGATGTTAAGAGGTTAAATGGAACTGGGGCACTAGTCACTGATGACTAACATTTGACGGGGGTTGAGGGCTTGAGTCTATAGCAGTGGAGAAAGGCACCTCACCTCCCTGTAACCATATGAGGGAGATGTAGATAAGCCTTGCTCTGGAGCATTGCCATGGAGGGATATTCCCTTTACCTGAAAGGAGATCTAAAGATTAAGTTTATTTCAAGTAAACACAGCTCAAGTGATATTTCTGACAAATTGAACAAAGAGTTCAAGAATCAAGTATTAAGAAAGATGATACCTAACCTATTCCACTGATCCACCACTCTATTTCTTAGCCAGTACCAAGTAGTTTTGATGATTGCTGCTTTATAATACAATTTAAGATCTGGTACAGCTAGGCCACCTTCCCTTTCACTTCTTTTCATTGGTTCCCTTGATATTTTGGACTTTTTGTTCTTCCAGATGAGTTTTTTTATTGTTTTTTCTAGCTCTATAAAATAATTTTTGGTTAGTTTGATTGGTATGGCACTGAATAAGTAAATTATTTAGGTAGAATTGTCATTTTTATTATATTACTTGGCCTACCCATGAGCTACTGATGTTTTCCCAATTATTTATATCTGACTTTATTTGTGAAAAGTGTTTTGTAATTGTGTTCATATAGTTCCTGGGTTTGTTTTGGTAGAAAGGCTCCCAAATACTTTATAGTGTCTATAATAATTTTATTTTTTTAATTTATTTTACTAGGCAATGGGGTTAAGTGATTTGTCC